ACCCCATTAGGGTCACAATTCCAAAGTGTCACCCTCCCAAATGCAAATTGCTAGATTAAGCATGTCTACCATTTTTTAAAGAATCCTATAATTCGCTAAGCAAAAGGCAACGCCTTACAGAACACAGGCGCTCTTCTTGGTGTAGAAACTGTGCCACATCTTCTGCCGTTACGCCAAGCATTCCTTGCTCTTGCAGATATTGCAAGCCTCTCTTGGACTTTTTGTTAAACCTGGGTAAGGTCAGGGAGATGGAAAGAGAGATCAGCCAAAAGGAAGACCCTTTAAAAAGACATAGCATTAAAACAAATTACCTGCTAACACTGACCCTACACATTTATTTTATTAAGACATGTTTATCTGGCTTTGTGGCTCAAAAAGACCCTTTAAAATGCACGGGTTGATATATCCTCTGGAATGGCATGAAATGGGGCACCAGAGTGGGCAAACCAGAACTAGATAAGGAAATCAATAAAATGTACCAAGGCTGCCTTGCACAAGCAGAAATTGTATTCCAATCGCACAAGACAACCCTTGGTATGCACCACTGTATTGTACAGTTTGAATGAGAATTAGCTGTTGTACACATAATGTAGGTAAGGAAAAAAAAGAAAAGTATGTATTTTTTTAAAAAATGAATGTATCACTTGTAGGAACTGAAAAACAATAATGGATAATAGCTTTTAAAATGCTGCTTTTTCAGTGCAAATTAGCTTCAAATTTAGAAATATATCAACTGCGTAAAATATAGGAGCATTATTTCATTTATCATATTCTTCTCACAAATTTGTTCTATTTATCTACTATTGCTTCTTAAAATGTACGTTTAATATCTGCAGTTGGCACATGTACGTATCCATTTCTTCTGCATTAACTAACAAACGAAAATCCATTGTATGAACACAAATCTCATACACTCAGTACAATAAATTTTCTCTTTGGTACCAATTCAAGATTCTGCTCTCTTCTTGCTGTCTCTGTAGCCTCTTGTTTCTTCTTACAGAGCAGACAAAATGATAAAAGTATGGAAAGGAAAGCTCATTTAACATTTATGCAATAGTAGTTCCAACTCACAGTTCAATACCATGTTCAATTATCTCTTTCTGTTGCTTGATGACCTCAAATTGCTCTGGATCATCAGGGACAGTAGTCTGAGTGCCAACACTCCCAATTCCTGAGGAGACTGTGGAATCTAAGGAGCTTGCACTACTTCTTCTTCCCCCAATCTCCAGACATTTGCCTTCCCCCATGTCTTGATCAGAAGGCTTATCTGGACCTGCATGTGAAGTAAAAAAAGATAACTGAAGAGAATGTGGAATTAACAGAAATGTATTTTTGAGCTCTCTAGAGAAGACACACTCATCACTAGCCATAGGGTCATATCATGAAGTTGGAAGAAATCCAGAAGTTATGCAGTCTACCTTTATACACTATCCCTAGGGTTTTCTACTAGTCTACTAGCCAGTCACCGGTACAGAAGAGTGAGGCACTGCCGAGGAAGAAATGCTAGGTTTTCATCAGGACAAAGCTACACTGGCCTGAGCAATCTCTTCCTTTGCCAATAAAGGTTACCGAATTGATTGATTGAATCTCTGGGAATCTGGGGGCTACAATGCTCCAACCCCTACCCTGTTTCCATGAAAATAAGCCCTAA